CCAGCCCGCCCCGCCCCCTGGTGGGCTGAGCTGGCCACACACACACACATAATAAATAAATGTAATAAATAAAAATAAATAATTTAAAAAAAATAGGAAATTGAAACAGATACTTTCCCAAAGAAGCAAATAGCCAACAGATACATGAAAAAATACTCATTTTTATGCCAAAAATGCAAATCAAACAAAACTCAGATTCCATCTCACTCCAGTACAAATTTCTGTCATGACTTCAAAAAAATAACAAATGCTTTAAGGTTGTAGAGAAAAAGAAAACCTTTTACACAGTTGATGGGACTATAAATCAGTTACAATCATTATGGAAACCACTATGGAGACTCTTTAACTCAGTACAGAATTTCCATTTTACCCAGCTAGACCTCTTCCAGATAACTTGCCAGAAGAACTATCACATTACAGTGATCCATGTCTACCCATGTTCATAACAGCACAATTCACAACAGCTGAATTACGGAAGTGGCCAATACGCCCCTCAGCAGACAAACGAACAAAGAGTGCGAGAGACAGGAAATGCAGTCACGTTGACAGGAAACACAAAGCTAGATCCCCTGCTTCGTGGAGATGGCAGGGGATCCGAGTCTGGGGGCGGAGGAGGGTGGGGAGGGGAAGGCACAAGGATCAGGCTGAGCTGCGAATACATTGATTGTGCAGGACAAACAAACTAAAAGCTTTCAATTAAAAAGTAAAACTCTCTGCCTGAGTGGGCTGTTGAGTTCGCTGAGCTATCTGGCTGGTCCTTTTATTTTCTTTCTTAATGATTCACAGGCAAGTACCTAATACTGCCTCTTCCTCAACTTTGTAATTCTTGCTGCCACTGACTAAACAAGTGGACTAATTTTGAGTGAAAATAAAAGCCTTAATGGGTTTGACTACGAAATGCTTTTCTATAAAAAACACTTGTGGAAAAAAAAAAAAAAGTAAAACTCACCAACAAAAACTTAAAAATTAAAAATAACTTGGATATTATTCTTAATTGACTCACCCAGAAGATAGAATACAATATTTGCATAAGAAATTAAGCCATAGAAGAATATTTATTGACATGGAAAAATGTTAACAATATGCCTCTATATGAAATACGTAGAATACAAAACAGTATATACAGTCTAATACCATTTTTGTGGTAAAATAGCCATATATACAAAAATCAAGCATACAAAAAATAATAAACGTATATAGCAAACATTTATAATGGTCATCTCTATATGGGTTATATACTCTCTCCAGTAAGCTCCACCTGTCCTGCACACAAGATTTTTATCATGCTATCTTTCCACAGTTATGATTAACGTGATAAAATCCTCCTTAAATAGGCTGCTGTAGGGTAACACCGCCATAGCATACCTGTACGCAGCCACTGCTACCATTTAAAAAGGGTATTCCACTTGCTTTTATATTCTGCCATATGGAAAGTATTTGTAATATAACATACTGTGAAATATGCCACAACATATTTGATTATAGAAAATTATTTAGAGGAAATTTTCTATTTCAGAGAATTTTAAATAAAAAACAAATACTGTTACTAGAATTTCCACTAGTGGCAGAGTACACAATAATTCAGGTTTAAGAACTGGAGAACTTTTATTCTTATTAATCAGCTAACTGACTTGGGCAAAGAAAATTAGTATTTTAAATTCAAAAATATGGCTAGTAATTTTATAAAAAGAAGCAAAAAGTAAGATTTTTTTGAAGTAAGGAGAAATGAAATCATAGATATAAATGATGTTTTCTTTAAGGACTCAAATGTTAGATAAAACAGCAAGAAAAAAATTTCTGATGAGGCAGAAAAATTAACTTACATTTCTTTGTTGCAGCATCAAATTCTTACTGTTTTCTATCACCTGTCACAAGTGTTAAAAGCCAAAATTGGGAAATTTTTTTCATCTTAATAAACAGCCTCTAACTTCTTTAATAGTTACTATATAGCACGTATTATTAGCATTGGATGGAAATTAGGGAAGTACTCCAAATATACATACAAAGTCATCCTTTGGCTTTTAATAATCTGCAACATTAAATGGCAAGAAGTATGATTTCATGTCTCAAAATGAATCACCATGTAAAGCTATTAGGTTATTAAAAATACCACATAAGACAGAAGATTTGGCTATTGGATCTTTTAAGGATAAAACACAGGAGAAGAGAGGAATGCCACTTGCCCACCCTCTGCTCTTTCTCAGGCTCCAGCGCCCTCCCACAAATGCCTCCTAATTTCTGCTCCCTCCTTTGGGAAGGGAATCTCAGACGAATCCATGACCAACTGTAACCTTTAAAAATGATGTACAGTCATACCAGAAAGGAAGCAAGTCATGACTTATTGTATCTCAAAGGTTAATTTATTACCTAAAGGTCTAAAGTAACTTGCAGATGAAAGAAACATAAAACACTGACAAAAAGCCAGATTTGAAAAGAGAGGCAAAAAAAAAAAAAAAAAAAAAAAAAAAGGGCAGGGGGGGATGATTTTTTTTGTTTTTCCAGTCAAGAGATGTGCTCCTCTTCTTCTTTTCAAAATTATAGAACTGAGAAAGCCAGCTGATCAACTCCGTCCAATGCCGGTGTCACTCTGTACCTCCACCCATGTCTCCCTGACCAAAGCTCAGCTTCCACCAGTGTTCTGATTCCTCAATGTCAATCACAAGAAAGGTTCTCCCAGGTTGTTACGAGAGACCAGAATATTACATGAACACACCTCAGGGCTGGAAGAAGCCCACTGATACTCTGTATTTGCCATTTTATAAGAATTAAAAAAAGACAGATGAGAAAGTCATTTTTTTGGTATTTCATAACCACTAATTTGTGACAGAAACTAAGGCGTGACATGCAGGCTAACAAAGAGGGTAGACGAGTTGCCAGCTCAGCACGCAACTACAGATGGAGACTCCTGATTTTCACTCATCTATTACTCACTGATGAACACTATAAAATGAAAAGGGACAGACTTGTGAACTAAAATTGCAAGAAAAAGCTCTCCAAAATCAATCTTCAATGAGCTCCTATTCCAATAAGCCATAAAGAGCAGTAAAAGGCAATATTCATTTAGAACATGAGAATCTCTATGACAAGAAATCAGGTCCTTATCGTCCTCAGGAGACACTTCTTCCCCACCTAACAAAGGCACTTGACACGTACTGAAATGGACAGTTAATTCAGGTACTGCCCTGGGCAACTGCTACCTTCCTGAAATTGGATGAAAGAGTGATTAAGTTCAAATTAGTTCTCCCAAATAAGCCCACAACACACATGAATATATCGTAACTTCTCCACTTTTGGCAGATGATAAAACCAAAGAAGAAAAGCTAGTGCTGGTGTTCACAATGGCAGGGCCGAGTGGTGCAGTCGCTCTCTGCAAGATTCCTCCATGACCCCGAATGTGTGTGTAACTACAGGCTGAGTGACCCCTCATGCAGCCTCAAGTATTAATTTTCACTCTTCTTCTTGTCCTTTTTTGCTTTTTTGTTCTTTCCCAAGCCCTTAGATGATTCCTCCTGGAAAAAAATAAAACCACAAGTCAATATAGTATGTCTCCATTCATACTAAGACACAAGCTTGCATCTATTCACACACCCTATATACACTGGTGATTACTCTCATGTGTGTCATCTTTGTGTCTTAAATGGCTCTCTCTTTATAGTCCATTACAGTGTTTTCAAGACAATTAAGGACAATGAAGAAAAACACTTATCTAGTAGAATTGTGCTTGAACAATTTCAATATTATTTAATCTGCCTCTGTTTCTCAAGGCAGTAAAGCCTAAATAAAAAAAGATATAAGCATGCTTCAAACATAAAACAAATTCTAAGTATAAATGAAGAAAGTATCTAGAGATATGTCAGGGAAACAAAAAATATTTTTGGTACTAATGGCAGAAAATTCTAGAATTCTGTAGACTTTTAAAGAACATCTGTCCAGTGTAACATCAGCTCTAATCTCTCTGTGAGCCTCAGTGCAGGAGGGAGAAACTAGTTGGTCTTTAGAGGTTTTCCTAATATAAATTCTATGAAGCTATGACAGCAGGATACAGACGAAGTGATCTGCTCCAGGTCATGTGACTGTCCAGTCACATTTTTTGACTAAGGCATGAGCCTCAAACTTCCTCAGCTTAACTAATATACTGCACACTCTGATTCAGTCTTAACTTTCTTTTCCTAACTTCACAGGCTGCGACAGGCAGCTCTCTGTACATGACCAAAAGTCACTTACAGGAGAACTTATGTAGTTCTTCTCCAGTAGTATGTTTCTGGCACAGTTGTTGATGTGTTTGAAGCGATCTGGTCCTAGCAGAATCCCTCCATACCAGCGTGACACTACCACCATGACATTCCTTACATTCAAAATCTGTCATTTTCAGAAGCATAGATACAGAAAAACATGTATAAATATAAGTTTTAAAGGAGAATGAAGTAACCCACATACACAATTGCACATAAAATTTCCCAGTGACTTTAGTGGCAGAACCGTATGAGTCTGCAGGGGGCAAAATACTAGCATTGGAGGGAATGTGGAAGTCAGTGCTGTGTCCCGGAGCCCTCCCATTCCACACTTCTGCCAAGCAGGAAGGGTGAAGGGGAGACCACGCAGTGGGTTTGAGCTCCCGGTGACTTCAACCACAACAACTCAGTTTAAGCACCCTTTTGCCACCAGGCCAAACAACAGCAAAAAATCTGCTTCTGAACAAATTATTAAAGACTGGCCACAGTGATGCGCGCCTATAATCCCAGCTCTTAGGAGGCTGAAAACAGGCGGATTACTAGGAGCCCAGTCTAGTAGTGAGACCCTGAATACCCTGTAGGCCCTTCTCTAAAATACAAAAAAAAAAAAAAAGGGGGGCGAATAGGGAGTCCAAGAGTAATTGGCAACCCCTACTAATGAGGTCTTCATGAGTACGACATCTATCAAAGGTTGCCTTTAAAATGAAGGGTCCCGTATGTAGGCCTGACTGACACTTGGAATTCCTACTCAAGGGAACTAGCTAATGAGAAAACAAAGTCCCACATAAAATAGAAGAAACCACAGTAACTACCTTAGAGCAAAATAATCCATTCTTAAAATTAATAGACAATCAATGGTCACCAGATAGATGAAGATAATCCAGCAGCATGAAAGAGAAAGGACAAGATAAACTAAAATGGGCCAGGAAAAATTTAAACTGAACCATCTGAAAAGAGAAACTCTGATTAATATGCAAAGAACTTCCAAAAGATACTGCACCTACAAAGCCAGAGTAGAATTCTGTGAAAAAGGAAAAATGAACAATTTTTAAGAACTCCTAAAACTTCAACACACCATTACTAAAACAAATTTTAAAATTCTACATAAATTTTGCAAGACAATCAACAAAATGGCTCAGAACATAAATATGAGATGCGCACTTTCATTTTTAAAAACTGTGGATCTATCCAGAAGTTCCAATATTTAATTGCCAGACTTTCCATAAAGAGAGAAAAACCACAACAACAAAAAGAGACATTTTCCCAAAGTTGAAATTTTCTTCTACTCTCTGTCTTAAAAACAGAAACCTTTGTTATAAACAAGTTGTTTTCTACTCCATATCCACTGGTTAAAATTTCCACTCAATGCTGAAAAGTTAACTACTAAACTAAACAATACGTTATACTGCTTAACTGATTTAATTATTGCTCAGAGGAGCTCTGGTTTATTGAGAAATTTTATGGCTCCCATAGACCAAGACCCAGCGCTCCTTGGACTCACCTCCAAGAGATGGAGCAGGCGTCCACCAGCGGCCGTCTCCCCGTCGTCCTCACAGTCCTGCAAGAAGGTCTGTTTACCCTCACAATATATTCTAGAAACACACACATAACAGGGTTACGCTGCGAGACTTCACAACAGTATGAAGGTCCTCACTCAATCCTTGTCGCAGTCCATTTGACTCCTTCTAAAATCAGCACTCCTTTCTTAAAAAACTCGTTCTTAAACTCCATGAGCTACATTTTCATGAATGATTTGCTACCCAGTATGTTCCCTCTTTTCATATTTAAAAAGCTAGGAATCAAAAGTCGTCTCCTTTATGCCATCGGAAATGCTGTTTTCATGGGAAGATAAACCTACGTAGCTGACAGTTCCTTCACTTCATTTAACCTTGAAGCTATGAAGCAATAAAAAGCAATCACTGAAAAGCATTTATTGGGAAACTACTATTTAGAAGCATTGTAAGAACAGATACGATGAAATGATATAAAATAAATACATGGTATACCCATGTTTTCAAAGAGCCTAAGATCTGGGAGATGGATAAGATCAAAATATATTATACACACAGAACTCCACCACACACAAATGCGTAACTGAGGGGAAAGGTGGACGAAGGGGCTGTGGGGGCAAAATGACTAATGGGTGTTATGTATGTGCAAGTCTGCCAACCAGAACCCACTCCTCTGTATAACACATATGTACTAATAAAAATATTTTAGGGCCAGGGACATAGCTCAGTGGCTTACGCAGCTCCCTGGCAAGCTCAAGATCCCAAGTTCAATCTCCGGTACAGCCTCCCCAGCAAAAAACATATGCATATTAAAAGCCTCAGATCCAGTAAAAGAAATCAAATCACACAAACAAGATGGATACCACATTCTTATGTTTTTCTTTCCTTATTTTACCCACCTGAATACAAAGACTGACTTCTCTTTAAAATGTCTTTTAGATAATAAGCATTAGAGATGAATCATATAATTTTTGTCCATTTACGTTACCTAGAAAGTTGGTATTCAGAACAACAACATACAGCAACATCGCAGTAGAATACATTTGGCAAATTCAATGCCGGCTTTATCTTGCCAGTTAAGCTATGCCACCTAGTGGATTTCTTGAGTCTGGACAATGGTTTCCTGTAAAACTGAGTCCTGAACAGCTGAAAACTTGTACTAACAACTAGACCTACACAGAAAAGATTAGCAAGGCCCCTGTGCCCCAATGGTACAGATGAAATATCGGATGGTTTCTCTTACAGGAGAAACCCAAACTTGCATATAAAGAGCAAAAGAGAAGACAACAGGAAGTAGGGAGACTTCTTTCAAACAGGAAGGAGAACAAAAGAGGAAGGGGGAAGGGAAAGGGAATTGAAGAAAAAAATGGAAATAGAAACTGCAACTGGAGGGCCGGCCAGATAGCTCAGCGGATTAAGGCGTGTGCTTAAGGCAGACACAAAGGCTGGGTTCGATGGCCCCACCCTGGTGGAGATTGAGACTGGTGTGGTGGTACACACCTGTAATCCCAGCGCTTGGGAGGCTGAAAACAGGAGGATCACTATGAGTCTGATCTGTGTTATGAGACCCTGTACTAAGTACAAAAAAAAAAAAAAAAGAAAGAAACTACAAATGGGAAGGGAAACCAAAGTTGCAGGGAGCAGGGAGGGATGAGGCGGGAGGGGACAAAAAGACCTGAGATGTGTTCAGTACCTGGGCAAACTCCCCACAATAAATCATTATGTACTGCAAACACGTATGTACAAGCAAAAAAATGTATTTTTAAAAGCTGAAAACTTTACTAGCATGTACACCATGATAGTAAAAATGTAATTTATAGACCTCCAT